AGAAGAGAATATGTGTTCGGTAGTGACAATTCTTAAGGTTACACGCCGATTTTCAGATTTTGGAACAGATTTATATCAAAAGTATGGGATCGAGCTATTTACCATTCAGCCATGAGGAACAGGGATGCAGTGTCACTGCCTTGTCAAAAATGCAGGGGTGTGGCTAAAAACCAGGCTCAGCCATTGGACTAAAACCCCTTGTGTTTCGGTAGTGACATGAAAACTGGGGACATGATTTTTTGAGTATAGTTTTTTTATTAAAAAATTAAACCCACAATAAATCTAAATATTCCGACTTCTGTTTGAATGTAATCATAAAGATCTTCTAAATACACCATCGAACAAAATTTAAAAAAATGTTTTAAGTGTTATTTACAGAACATGAAATTTAGATGTCAGGGTTGGGGACAGCTACTTCCCAATAGAAAGTACCCTATAAATGATGTTTTTGTATATATTAAGCTTATCACTATCTAATTTAATGCCTTGTGTTTAATAGAACATAACATATTCTTAGTAAATATCTATGTCTGAATACTTAATTGTTTTGTTAAATAGTTTTTCTTGTTGTGGGACTGCACTTTGCACAAATTCGGTAGAATGCCCCATATATTAAGCTTATCACTATCTAATTTAATGCCTTGTGTTTAATAGAACATAACATATTCTTAGTAAATATCTATGTCTGAATACTTAATTGTTTTGTTAAATAGTTTTTCTTGTTGTGGGACTGCACTTTGCACAAATTCGGTAGAATGCCCCATATACTCAGTAAAATGATCATGGTTTCTTTTAAACTTTACGGAAAAATCGGCTTTTTCATGCAGTCGTTAATCATTTCAAAGGAACCTGTTATCATAAAGCTTTCGTTGAGTAAAATTGGACTTGGGACTCTTGAGTAAACACAAACATTTCCAACTTGCATAGCCTACAAATTTGTAGTTTGTGTAGCCCAAGAATATCCTAACATTATAACACCATCTCTTATTTAAGCCAATAACTGACAATATACATGGGTTGTATGATGAGATAAGGATTTTTTTATAATGGAATTTGGTGCGCAAAGTTTAAATACTCTTTTATAAATGTATATAACTGTCATTCTGAATGCATAGTTTTGCTCTGCACACCAACAGCAGGACATTGTTATGATAACATATCTGTTGCTCTGACATCTTGGCCTCTGAATGACTTCTTCTACATCTATTTCATACTTTTAGGACAGTTACAGTTTAGTTTGCCCACGATCAAGTTCCTTTAGTTTTTTCCTTAAGCACTGCACCAACACCCTTCACTACAGTATGAATCTTAAGTTTTCACATTTACTGAAATACATTGAGATTACTTATAAGAACAACATAAAAGTAATTTGAAAATTGTAAATAATAGTTAGTTATATTAAAAGCCCAGGTTTTGAGGATACTGCTGTGCTTCAAAATAATAACTACTCCTGGTCTCCAGTTCAGTGTTTTGTGAACCACCACCTTATGAACCAGCAGTTAAGAGCTTCCCCATGACTTAAAGGGGACCTATCATGCAAAATGCACTTGTGTACGTCTTTTATACATGCATATGTGTCCCCGGTGTTCCAGGGAACTCACCAAGTGTCAGAAAACACAACCCTCTCTATTTTCCTCCATACCCAAATCTCTAAAAAAGGGGCTGCAACGGATCTGATACAGACTGATCCAGATTTGAACACTTCTATGACGTCACAGAAGTGGCGTTACGGCTATTGGGCCAACTCTCCACCTATCAGGGGAATGTGGGGTTGGGCCACGGCCGGCCATTGCCGCTCGAAAGCGCTGGAGACGCTGTAGTGCATATGCCAGGCCTGTAAGTGGCGCTGTAGTCTGCCACAAAAGCAGCGAAGAAGACTTCCCGCCCATAGTTACCATGGTTACCCTTCTGTTTATTCTCCGCTCTGGCTTTTTTTCTCCCTCCCCGAGGCAAGCGTTTGCTCCCGCTGCTTTAATTCAATGCAATCCCTCCCCGTCGAGGCAAGCACTGTAATTCTCTCCGGTTAGTCCACCAGCAGATGACAAACACCCACCTCTCCGCCTCTCCCAAGGAACGAGGGGACCGTGCGGCAGAGTTTCAGTTTCAGTTTCTTTCGCCGGTCAAGATGTCCGTTAAAGTTTAAATCTTCCGGACAAAATTAGAAAAGTGCCGGTCAAAGGTCTTCTTTGTTATTTATTGAGCTTTAAAACAAATGAATAACGACTCTATATAATAAAACACGGAGGACGGAGATCTTTTTTTCTCCCCCTCTTGACTTGATCAGAGCACGACTCCCCTCTCCTGCAGGGGGGCGTGGTCAGCTGCAGCTCACAGAGATCAGCCCCGTAGACAGCAAACAGCACATAGAGCGAAATGAGGCATGGCTAAAATGCATGATCTGTTTGGTATTTTGAAAACAGAAACGTATAAATATACCTTATATAGGTATGGCCCTACAATATATCATTTAAATATAGCATGATAGGTCCACTTTAAATCCCAGGAAGTAAATGGTTTTGCTTTCTCATTCAAATTCAGAATCAGGTTTGTATACAGTGACTGTCTCTGTAGCCATTATTTATGAAGCAGCGCCAACAATGCTGCTGGCCAAATGAAGAAGAGGCTCATGAATGAAGCTGTTGTTATGTTAACAACCCCCTGATAGTCCATTCCTACCAGAGGTGATTACAAAATACGATTCAGTATCACAGACATACTGTACAGTGCTTAATTTATGTATTCAGTAAATGTTATTGAATTTAAACCAAACACTTGATTCTTAAATTGGAGCAGGGTGGTCTTGAATCCTATCCACCCTTTTAATGCTTAACAGCATAAAGAAGATTTTAAAGAAGATGTTCAGATGAACTTTAAAAGCACTTTAAGGTAAAAAAAAGAAAAAAGAACTGCATACAATGGTTTTGAATACCGATGTAAATTGACAGTCTATTACATTTTAAAACAACACATTTACACTGATACATCTTCCATTTAGGGCTGGGCAATACATTTGATGTAGTATTATGAGACTTGATATTGTCTAGTAGTAATGTGACTAAAGCATTGTCTTTTCTTTGTTTTAGAGGCCATGTTGCAGTAAAGTCATTTCCACTCACTAGATTGTAATGGGTGTTCTATTATTATTGAAGTCATTATATCCACATTACTGTTTAATTATTTATCAAATCTCTCACAGAACAATAATTTTTGCTCCAAAGGTTAACCTCATATTTGTAACCAGATATGGTTTTTTTGTATGCATATCACCGGGTGCCATTTTTCTGTTAGTTGTTTGTCCACACTGTGTACCTTTAATACGGTCCTGGGAGGAGAAACGCTCATGGGGGGATATAAACGTACATAATGAAAAAATAAATGTTTTTTGAAGAAAAAAAAAAATCAGACATTTTCAATTAGTATTTAATGTAATATTCAATCCAGAAATCAGGGGATAACAACTGGTCCAATTTAGATTTACGGAACGTCTACACAGCAGCGTTAAAAAAATCTTGAAACGCTTCTGCCCATTCACTTTGAATGGGGTGACGTCACTTTCCCTCACTTTTCGCCGAAATGCATTGTGGGCAGGCGAGCGGAGATTTTCAGGATTTTGAGGATTCAAAGTTGAACAATGTTCATCTTTTGAGGCTGAGGTGGAAGCGTCAGCCAATCAAATCCCGTGTACGCAAATCTGACAGTTCAAGCTCTAGCCAATCAAACGGCGTGTATGCTGGGAGAGACATACCGCAGGTCATTTCCTCATATTCCAAAAAATGGAGGAGAAATTAGCGGTAGCGAATCAATCACCCGGTGCTTTATGACCAGTCCCTATTTACCTACCGGGATATAAACCGGAGGAGCCAGGCATGGAGGGAGGTGGCAGAGACAGTGGTAGGTTTTCGCCTGTTTTGGGGAGTTTATATCCAGTTTACTTCGGGCTTTTTTGCTTCGTATGTCGCGGGCGGGAGATTCATGTGATTGGTTGCTCGCAAAAAATGCTCAAGCTTCAGATACGCCCACCTCCAAGATTTTTTTAACGCTGCTGTGTAGACGTACCGTTAGAGTAATATCTACCAGCTTCTCAATTATTTCATTATACATACAGTATGTAGCTCTGACATGCTAATTAATGAAGAAAACGAATTTCCTTTGGCTACAAACACCAGTGGCAACTATCAACAATGACAGACAGTGTGGTCCAAACCATAGAGAATTAGTAGAAAAACAATTAAGAAATACAGTATGTGTATTCTATAGCTCCAGACTTTGAATGTTATATTGGCATAACCAGTGGCGAGCCGTGAGCTTTATACCTAGGCCCTCTGACCCCCACCCCTTCCTTCGAAAAAAAGACGTTATTACGTCACAGCATATTCTTCAGCGGAATATCAAAACAACGGCCCAGGGTGCAAAACGCATCAATGACAGCGACCCTCTACCACACAAAACAACACCTGTGAACCCAATTTGTGTTCTTTGACATTGAAAAGGATATTGCATTGTGTTTGTTACTTTCATTGCAGTTGTATGTCTTAAGTGTAATTTGGCATGCTTTTATTTTGAAGGCGAGTTCACGCTGTTGACAGGAAGTTGTTGTTGCTATGGAAACAAGAAAAGTTTCACAGCGGGCGGAACTCGTCATAAAGTCCGCGATAATAAAACCCACCCATTTAGAGGGAAGATATGATTGGTCAATTGTACTGTCATTTGACATTACTCTCTCGTTCAGTTACTATAGCGGGCCCTCTGTGAATCACAGAGAGGCCCGCTATAGTAACTGACATTCAAACAGAGACTGAACAGGCAGATTCGAAGGATTTATTTCTTTGGAAATGTCATTTTATTAAATCAAGTTTTTTTTCGGTAAAACTAATGAAAAATATAACAAAAATAATATTAAAAAAATATATATTTTAAAAAAATATATATTTTTTTAATGTTTTTAAATATTATTTTTTGGAATATCTTAGGCCCTCACAGAGGGCCTAGAGGGCCCTGACGGCTCGCCACTGGGCATAACTTTTCATTCAGTCTTTCCTTTGGTTGTAATCCATACCACAGAACATCCTGATCCACTGCTGCCCAGGCCATTCGCTCTGTGGTACACGTTGCTGCCCACTGTCCTGACGGAGAAACGGCTATAGCGCCTCCTGCACCACGGACACGGTGTCCCATGTACCGCAGAGACAACTGGGAAGAATCTGCTAGAGATTTACCTGTGAGAAAATATGGAAATTAATGGAAAATCAATATTCAGGGAATCAATGTGTGGTCATGTCCTTTAACAAGTGTGTCCATGTTCCTGCTGCCATTGTCAAAACAAATCAGACCTTCTTAAAACTTGCAAACCATTGTCAATGAAAGCCAGAATGTAAAAAAAGCTCAAATTGCATCAAAGTGGGACCTCATAGTAAACAGGACAATAAGACCGTATTTCATTATTTGAGTCCCACAGTATCTAACTTTTCCTCATTTGACTTTGGTATAAAATATAGGCTTGTTCTAACTAACTAACTAAACCAACTCTCTAATAAAAAAGCTAATTTAATAACTGCAGCCATAGTTATAATGACTACATTTCCATCAAATCAAGACCAGATAAAGTCCGACCCATATGTGGCCTGTCTTAATGTAGAGAGTTTGAAAGTGTGATACTTCACCTTGTTCAACATGTGAAAGAATGAGTCTGGCCAATGTCACTTTGAGAATAGATTCTCCATGGCCGGTACACGACACTGCACCACTGAGGTTGTCTGCATATCCTCCAGAGCCTAATTTACAAGAAAGAACACGGGAGAAAAAAACATTTAATCTACTTTTCTTTTGCTAGATTTCACACATTGGTGTCCTTAAATACTATAAAAAGGTTGGGAGTGCAACTGAAATGATAAATGTTTTATAGTGAAAGTGAATGAAGTCATACCAATGATGGGAGAATCTCCCACTCTGCCAACCATTTTATATCTGAGGCCTCCAGTTGATGTTGCACACGCCACGTTACCATCAGAGTCCACAGCGACCGCCCCAACAGTATCATGGGCCCTGGAATGACAACAAAAGGATGTAAGGGATAACATATTTCACTTTGCATATAACAAGTAATCATCACGTTCAATGAATCTTAGTATAATGACCATCAACCCCACATTCTAGTCTAATGTTTAAATTAATTTAAATGAATTACATTGTTTCTGTCTGCTCTTGGATGCCTTTATGTGACAACTTAAAAACATCTCCTGCAGTATTACCTTTTGTTAAACATTCGTTACACAAGCACATTCTCTGCCTAGTAGGATCTACGGTTATATTATATTTATGTTTCATGCTAATTAACATGAAAAGGTGATGTGAAGAATGTATGAATGAAATCGGAAGTGGAGAATAGCATGGGTTAAATGATGAAGATACTTGCCACTGAGAATTGAAATCCTCCATAACTCCAGCTAGACAGTTGTTTTTTTTGTCCCACTCTTTCCTCTCATACTCAGTCACCAGTTCATCAGTGGGGACGGTGGCCATGCCGATACTCTCTGCAAACAGGTTTGCACCTCTGCCTGTCAGTATGATATGGGATGTCTGGCATGTTCAATGGCAGCGGACATGTAAGAAAAATAAAATGGATTTCAAAACGTTTTCATTATCCTGCAATACAACAAAACCGTATCATACCAAAAAGAAGAAAAAAAGATTCAGTCAAAATCTGTAATCGAATCAGTGCATTTCTTACAGTTAGTGGTATTTACTGTTCCTTCAAAGAAAGACAAAAGCAAGTATTTAAGACAACACCTTTTCCATCACTGCCCGTGCCAGTGACACAGGATTGGCGATGTTATTCACTGAAGCCACGGCACCACTGGCAAGTGTCCTTCCATCCATGATAATGGAATCAAGCTGCACTTCTCCTTCAGCATTTAGCGCAGCTCCATGCCCTACAATCACAAAACATAACTATAGTCAGCGTGTGAACTGAAGGTCTTTTATCTGCTGAGAAACTAAATGAAATTCAAGAGCAACGGACAGAGAGGGTGTGAGAAAAACAGGCTTTTCCTTCCTTCTTTGGAAACAGAGGCTTTACGCTGCCTGCTACATCCTCTCATATCCACAGGGTGGTGACACAACAGTTTAAAAACAGCACAGTACTGTGAATGACACATTATTGATGAACAGATTGTATTTACTCGTACACATTTGTTTGGTACATAAAACACCTTTTAAAATGTATATTAGTTTCGATTAATTCAACAGCTTTTAAGTTCTGCAATGTAGTTTAGATAAAACACACAAAACTACTGAAGCACAAAAGAGATATACATTACTGTGCGATCAGTTTATCCATAATTTCTCATGCCTGAGACTGTCCATTTACAGTAAATTTACTTCGTAAAGGTTCTAAGTGAAAAGATTTCAGGATTAAATACATTTTTCATTTTAATTGTCCCCAAAAGGTGTGACACTCATTTAAGAACACATATAATAATATTAGTATTATATTAGGGTTTAACACATACACATAATTTAAAATGCAGATGTGTTTTGGGATTAAAACACATTTGGGATGAATACCAGAGTATAAGGATGAGCCCTTTTATCAGTCAGTAACCTGACCCCTACTGATCATCATCACTGTGATTCTTTATCAGATGAATGTTGGCATCCCCACCAGCAGGTGGAGACGTTGAGCTACACACAAATGTAACTGAATCTTTGTGCATAATGTGAATGGGAAGCGTCTATAGTCCTATATACTCCTAGTGCAGACTGCATGCATACATATTTAAATATGGGAATGTGAACTAGTATTTGTGTACAGTATACCTGCATTAAACGCAGGGTTATCCTCCAGAGCCATCACGGCTGCCTCTACAGCATCCAGAGCACTTCCTCCTCCTTTCAGCACAGAAGATCCTTGACGTGCTGCAGCCTTCACTCCATCCACAGAGGCCTTGGCCAGGTCCTCAGGTATGGCCCACGCCCCCCCATGCACCACCACCACTGCTGACATCCTCCTGCAGGAGAACACAGTGTTAAAGTATTTTTTATGACATCTTTAATTTTCCTCAGCCTTGGAGGGTTAGTCTAACTTCAAATCAAATCTACCATCGTAAATGAAAAATAATTATTTTTGTTTATTTAAAAATAATAATACATATCATTGTTTTAATTTCAAAATGTTCATAGATTACAGTAGTGTATTTCAGACTTCTTTTAACTTCTTAACCTTGAAAAAAACCTCACATCTCAACTTCAGGATCATGTTCAAAACTCAATTTAAGTAGACCTCGAGTTTTTTTTTTCAAGGCTAAAAATGTACTTTGAAACTTGTCTTTAAAAAATAATTCAAAGGCTAACATTAAACTTTCCCTGACTCCTAGGACGCTGGTTATGTTCCAGATAGATAATTGATCAACTCAGTGAAAGCACCGCCTGCTGACCAATCAGGGCTCTATGTGCGGAGTTTAAAGCTATCAAGTCATATTAAAGGAACTATTAACATATTAACTGCTGTATGCAGGAAAGAGCTAGGTCCGGCAAAAATCGCCGACTGTGTGAACATGAAAATTAATAGAATATCACCTCCCATCTTCAGAGAAATCTGACTATTCTTACATTAGCGTTAAGAAAGCTTAATTAAATATCTGCCACAAGGCAAGGCAAGGCAAGGCAAGGCAAGGCAAGGCAAGGCAAGGCAAGTTTATTTATATAGCACCTTTCAACACAAGGCAATTCAAAGTGCTTTACAAAAATGGAAGAAATTATGAAAATGGCATTTAAAATCAGTCATTAAAAAGAAAAGATAATAAAATAAACATTAAAAGAAAAAATACATGGATAAAAGTTCAAAGTTACAGTGCAGTTTAAGATGTGAATAGTTCAATTAAAAGCAGCGGCAAAAAGTAGTAAGAGTTGCAGCGGACCTGCAGGTTTCTGGGAGTTTGTTCCAGATATTTGGAGCATAATAACTGAATGCTGCTTCTCCATGTTTAGTTCTGACTCTGGGGACAGAAAGCTGACCAGTCCCTGAAGACCTGAGAGTTCTGGATGGTTCATAATTTAGCAGTAGGTCAGACATGTATTTTGGGCCTAAACCATTCAAAGCTTTATAAACCAGCAACAATATTTTGAAATCTATTCTTTGACACACAGGAAGCCAGTGTAAAGACTTCAGAACAGGAGTGATGTGATCCACTTTCTTAGTGTTAGTGAGGACTCGAGCAGCAGCGTTCTGAATTAGCTGCAGCTTTCTAATAGATTTTTTAGTGAGGCCTGTAAAGACACCATTGCAGTAGTCGAGTCTACTGAAGATAAAAGCATGGACAAGTTTTTCCAAATCCTGCTGTGACATTAGTCTTTTAATCCTAGATATGTTCTTTAGGTGATAGTAGGCTGATTTAGTAACTGTTTTAATGTGACTGTTGAAACTCAGGTCAGAGTCCATGACTACACCTAGATTTCTGGCTTTATCTGTTGTTTTGAACATTGCAGACTGAAGCTCAGCGCTAACTTTTATACGTTCTGCCTTGGCTCCAAAAACCATTACCTCAGTTTTATCTTTGTTTAATTGGAGAAAGTTCTGACACATCCAGTCATTGATTTGTTCAATGCACTTACTCAGTGTTTGAATTGGAGCATAATCTCCTGGTGAAATTGTTACGTAAATGTGTGTGTCATCCGCATAGCTATGGTAACTTATTTTGTTGTTTTTCATTATCTGAGCCAGTGGTAGCATGTAGATGTTAAAGAGAAGAGGCCCCAAGATGGAGCCTTGAGGTACCCCACATGTCATATTTGTCAACTCAGATGTGTATTTACCTATAGAAACAAAGTTTTTTCTGTCCTTTAAGTAGGACTCAAACCAATTTAGAACTGTTGCCGAAAGTCCCACCCAGTTTTCTAGTCGGTCTAGTAATATGTTGTGGTCAACAGTGTCAAACGCAGCACTGAGATCTAATAATACTAACACTGAAGTTCTGCCACTGTCTGTGTTTAAGTGGATGTCATTGAAGACCTTTACAAGAGCAGTCTCAATACAACAACATAAGTAACCGGATCAAAGTAACATTACGTACAGTCCCCGACCAATCAATCACATCATAATATATCATATTCCCTTATCTGCGTCAGCTTCTCGAGCCGTATCTGGCCGTGCAACACTTACATTGTCAGATACTGGCAGAAGTATTATTTAAAACACATTAAGTTGACGAAACAATCGAATCAAATGTAATTAAAGTCAGATCCACTCGTGTCTTGGACGGGGCAGTGATATCATAAACCTGTTATACGCATTCAAACACCGGGTCCTTTTTTGTCTTCTTTTTTCCAGCTGTTCTGTATTCACCTTGCAGCTGCAACTATGTTGCTTTCATCCTGGATTAAGTGTTTAATTCATGGATGTTTAAAGTTTAACTTCTTCATATTTGTTTTGTCTAACATGATAGTCTACTTTTCATTCCAAACCCTTAAGAGTCCCTGGGGCCATTTTTCAGTTATTCAGGTTTTCATGTTTATGCCATTTTGGCTGTGTTGAATGAATATTGCTCAAACTTGCCAGAGGATATTCTTTTTTAGTTGTATATTGAATTGTCGTCTCAGTTTTTTTAAATTAGCCTAAAATGGCTAAGCTACACAAAAACCGACACATTTGTTCCTAGCGGCAAAAAATGCCCCATTGAAAATGCTTTTTTTGACCCCACATTTATCTTATCATAAACTCTTGATTTCCTTTATGTTAAGATTTCATTTTGGACTTCTAGCTTTCAATTTTCAATTTTTACATTTGTCTACAAGATGGCGATAATTTTAACCCTTTGAAGCCTGTAGCAAAATGTCACCCTTTTTACTGTTTTCTGCAAGGGTCACTTGCTACTGAAATTATATGTGTGTGTCGCTTTTGATGTTGGATAATGGTATATGTGTGCGTGTGCGTGTGTGCGTGTGCGTGTGTGTTTGTGTGTGCGAAACTTCAAAATACTTTTCTCTTAGAAGGCCACACTGCGTAATAATCTAATTCAATAATAAAAACAATGAGTTGCGAGAACCAAAACAAAATTGGACTTTGTTTTGGTTCTCGCTCAGGTTGTTTATGGGGGGTGGTGGCGAAGTCGATAGGGACTTGGCTTGGCAACTGGAAGGTCACCAGTTCAAGTCCTGGCAAGACCAAGTGCTACCGAGGTGTCCCTGAGCAAGGCACCGTTCCCTACACTGCTCCCCGGGCGCCGTCCACGGCAGCACACTGCTCCTAACACTAGGATGGGTCAAATGCAGAGGAACAATTTCGTTACATAGTACCTGTACTGTGAAATGACAAAAAGAGCAATTTATTATTTATTTATTTTTTATGCAGGTGCACTGCAGCCATGGTTATAAGTATTACTATTAGTGCAGGAGTAGTCTTTTTGGAGATGGCAAGGCATTACAGCACACAGGAAGCTCTGGACATCATCATGCACTCTGATTGCGAGGATGGCTCCTCATCCTCCTCCGTGGACTCTGAGGCTGACACAGAAGAGGCCTCAGAGTCCACGGAGGACGCCTCAGAGGTGGGAACAGACCAGCTAGAGTCCAACTCAGACTCATCTGAAACTGAGAGTGGAGGGGAATTGGAGGAAGCAGCTGCAGGATGGACTTCAAAAAATGGTAAAGTGTTTTGGTCTCCCACAAACACTGAGACGCTCCGCTACGTCCCAGCAGCCAGAAGTTTGATCCCGGGACCAACACACTATGCTGTCGCCCGAATCAGTGACCCGGCATCCAGCTTTGCACTGCTGCTGACAGATGACATCCTGCAGCATATTGTGTCCATGACAAACCTGCATGGGAGACGGTCAATTGCAGAGTGGCGAGATATGGACACAGAGGAACTGCAGGCTTACGTGGGGCTGCTCATTTTGGCCGGTGTTTACAGGTCAAAAAATGAATCGACCCTCAGCCTCTGGAGTGAGAAATCGGGACGGAGCATTTTCCGGGCCACGATGTCCCACAATAGGTTTCACCAAATCAGCCGAACACTGCGGTTCGACGACAAGCTATCCCGACCGCGGCGCCATGATGACAAGCTGGCTGCCTTCCGCAAAGTCTGGGATATGTGGACGCGCCGCCTGCCGATGCTGTTCAGCCCATTCAGCGACGTCTGCGTGGATGAACAGCTCGTCCCATTCAGAGGCAGGTGCAGCTTCAAGCAGTACATGCCAAAAAAGCCGGCCAAATACGGTATAAAGATTTGGGCAAACTGTGATGTAAAATCATCCTACGCCTGGAGACTGCAGGTGTATACAGGCAAAGCAGCTGGCAGTCATCCTGAAGTCAACCAGGGGATGAGGGTGGTCCTGGAGATGACGTCCTTCGCCCTGGCTGAGGAGCTGCTCAGGAGAAAACTGGCCCTGGTTGGCACAATTCGCCGAAACAAGCCTGAGCTTCCCCCTATTTTGCTCCAGGCAAGAGCGAGAGCGATCCTCTCCTCCACCTTTGCCTTTACGAAGACCCACACACTGGTCTCTTACATCCCTCGACGGGGCAGGAATGTGCTGCTTCCAAGCACGAAACACCGCAGTCCAGACGTAAGCGACGAAATGAAGAGAAAGCCAGTCATAATCAAAGACTACAACCGATGCAAAGGAGGTGTCGACAACCTTGATAAGGTAGGTGCCATTAGGCATCAGTTACGCACACATGTATTCTTACTCTTATATTCTTGTCTGAAATATATGTAGGTTTTTTTCAAATGAGCATTTTCCTATGAAATAATTAATATTTGCATCATGAGAGAAAATGCTTGGAATCATGTATTCAAATTGTCTTGTTTTATGTTTTTGTTAGGTTGTTGCCACCTACTCCTGCAGGAGGAGAACAAATCGCTGGCCACTTGCCCTCTTCCACAACCTGGTTGACATTTCCCATTACAACGCCTACGTCCTGTGGACATCAATCGAGCCATCCTGGCAGCAGCAGAAACCGTACAGGAGGAGGCTCTTCATTGAAGAGGTGGGAGAAATGCTGGTGACCCCACACATCAAGAAGAGAGGGCGCCTTCCCCGCTCATCAGCCGCTGCAACAATGGTGTCAGATCTGCAGGGTGCTGCTGCAGGCCCCTCTCTCATCAGTGAACGGAAGAGCAGGAGGCAGTGCAACTTTTGCATGGACAGAAGAGTTTGCAGCACCTGCTGCAAATGTGGGAAATTCATATGCAAGGACCACAGTCTGTCCATTTGCAGCCCCTGCTCGACCTGAGCTGAACTCTCACAGCCAGACACACAGTGTTCATTCAATGTTCATCTTTGTAAAATAAATGTTTTTCTGGTTCAAAATGATCTTGTATTATTCATTTTAGTCAGGCTGGAGTAGTTTTAAAAGATTTAGGAAAAAAATAGGAATATATCATATTTTTATGGCAGTTTTTGTGAGGGTGGCATTTTCTGGCCTTAGGAACATGAGTGTGAGTTTTTGTTTAACACTAGAACCGCCAATCGGGTCAATTTGACCCAGAGCTGTTTTTATTGTGTGTAACTTTTTTTCAATAAAATATTAAAGTCTTCCAGTCCGTGACTTTTCCTGAAAGTGTGTTATGTAGCACCCTATGTTGTTAAAAATTGTCAATATGAAGTCAGATTGAAGAAATCGCCCAAAAAATTACCATTTATATCTATTTCCGCCCAGCGGGTCATATTGACCCCACCCCTTTTCATATAAACATGACGTGTTGCTATAGCAACGCCTTTTGTCTACTGTTTGTTTGTAGCCTTTATTTAACCAGGCTAAAAAATCCCATTGGGATCAACGATCTCTTTTTCAAGGGAGACCTGCGGTACATTAGTTACACATAAAAACAAACAAAAGGACATCACAACATAATAGTTTAAAGATAGCAACAGTTGGCTTCTGCTGCACTTGCTGCACTCTCGTCTGGGGAGTAATGATACACGGGCAAGGCCAGGCAGGAAACATGTGACTTATCCGTAACTTTAGACATCGTAACACAATTTTAAACGAGATTTTATTGTAGATTATACATTTTACTGATACCAATTATGTAATATTTACCTTGTTTATTAAAAATAAAAATAAAAATATTTTTTAAATATATATATATATATATATATATATATATTTTTTTTTAATGAGGGAAGAGGGGGGGCGGCCGCCACTGATCATCAGTCTTTCACACCTTTATACATAACTTGTTTTGCATGATAATCAGCTCTGTTGTGTAAACATTGAAAGACTGTATTAACCCTTAAGAGTCCCTTTAAAAAAAAAACGTATTTGTTCCTAAGGCCATAAAATGCCACCTTCACAAAAACTGCTATAAAATTATGATATATTAATATTTATTTCCACTTTAAAAGAGTAAATCTTTTAGAACTACTCCAGCCTGACATACACATATGAAATATGAATTATATTTTGGGGATTTTAACCCTTTAAATGCCAGTTTGTTGAAAAAACTCCACAGTTTTTTTATTGAAAAAAACAAAAATCTAGAATAATTTTCAAAAACTACATTTCAAGGAATATTTGATTATTGTTATTATTAGGTCCCTAGATTAGTCAATGATTGGCAGCAACATTGATTTGAATGCATTGTTATTTTTTTTGCAGTGTCAGGTTTAAACAAAAACTCACACTCGTGTTCCTAAGGCCAGAAATTGCCACCTTCACAAAAACTGCTATAAAAATATGATATATTCATATTCTTTCCCACTTTCAAAGAGTCAGTCTTTTAAAATTACTCCAGCCTGACATACACATATGAAATATGAATTATATTTTGGGGATTTTAACCCTTTAAATGCCAGTTTGCTGAAAAAACTCCACAGTTTTTTTTATTGAAAAGAACAAAAAACTAGAATCATTTTCAAAAAATACATTTCAAGGAATATTTTATTATTGTTATTAGGTCCCTAGATTGGTCAATGATTGGCAGCAACATTAATTTGAATGCATTGTTATTTTTTTTGCAGTGTTAGATTTAACACTAGAACCGCCAGAGATTTTTTATACCTAAAACCGCCACCTGGGTCAAATTGACCCGCTATTAGAATGCATTGATTTTCAAGGTAAAATGTTCTTTTATTGAACAGTGAGTTTTGATCGCACAGGGATGAAACGTATACCAATAGAACCTGTGGACTCTCAGCTTGACAGGGCTCGACATTATAAATGGCCCGCTGGCCCGGAAGCATTATTTAGACACAGCGGCCAGCATAACGTACTTTCAACTCGCCCCACAGCTGTTTGCTGCGGAGCGCAGCGCGAGCAGTCTCCCGTGAGCGGGAGCGCACTCCTTCACTACAGACTGTCTCTATCTCTCTCTCTCTATCTATAACTATCTATCAATATATCTATCCATCTATCTCTCTCTCTCAATCTATCTCTCAATCTATAAGGAACCGCAGCCAATCATTGACTAATCTAGGGACCTAATAATAACAATAATCAAATATTCCTTGAAATGTATTTTTTGAAAATTATTCTAGATTTTTGTTTTTTTCAATAAAAAAAACTGTGGAGTTTTTTCAACAAACTGGCATTTAAAGGGTTAAAATCCCCAAAATATAATTCATATTTCATATGTGTATGTCAGGCTGGAGTAGTTCTAAAATATTTACTCTTTTAAAGTGGAAATAAATATTAATATATCATAATTTTATAGCAGTTTTTGTGAAGGTGGCATTTTATGGCCTTAGGAACAAACAAGGGACTCTTAAGGGTTAATACAGTCTTTCAATGTTTACACAACAGAGCTGATTATCATGCAAAACAAGTTATGTATAAAGGTGTGAAAGACTGATGATCAGTGGCGGCCGCCCCCCCTCTTCCCACATTAAAAAAATATATATATATATTTAAAAAATATTTTTTTTTATTTTTTTTTATTTTTAATAAACAAGGTAAATATTACATAATTGGTATCAGTAAAATGTATAATATACAATAAAATCTCGTTTAAAATTGTGTTACGATGTCTAAAGTTACGGATAAGTCACATGTTTCCTGCCTGGCCTTGCCCGTGTATCATTACTCCCCAGACGAGAGTGCAGCAAGTGCAGCAGAAGCCAACTGTTGCTATCTTTAAACTATGCCGCCGAAACATAATTTCAGCCAATCAGCGTCGTCAAATCTGATGGTCACAGGGCTCCTACGTGAGCGCCCGGTGCAGTCTGCGAGTTGTTTGGACTCATATCCAAGGAGACAAAACAGGAAGCTGTCATACACTCTGGAAGCTACCATTAGCAGCTAATGAAAACTCCGTTTTTGACATAAAAATGGAATTATGGATCATCAATCATTTTTTCAAAGTGACAGACACATTGGATTAACCTTCAGCTGCGTTTTTCTCGTTTTTGATCAGAATTGTTATTCTGCAAAAGGTGAGCATATCTCCGTGTTTTGCTACCTAAAGCTACGTCGTGTGATGTCTGTATTTGCTTCCCCTGTCGCGAGTTCTGATCGCTCAGTGATGATACTTATATTTCTAGAATCTGTGGAATCTCAGCTTGTTAGCACAGTTTATGCTGTAGAAACTATGTCCAGGACAAGGTGTTTAGAAGTTTTGGAAGATTCATAGCTAACCACACTGAAGTTATGGAGGTATTGATCAGTCTTCTCATATTTTTAAGCCTCAAATTGTCCTTCCCCCCCCCCCCACCCCTCTAACATCACCAGAAGTCATAATTTAGGGGGTCTTTTCTCAAAAAAATGCCCCCTAGTATTGTTTGATCACCATTTCCACAGCCCCACCGAAAATATTTTCCACCAGCCGCCACTGCTGATGATAGACGGTCCTGGGAGGAGCAACGCTAATGGGGAGGAATACACTTACATCATGTAAAAAAATAGATTTTATTCGAAGAGAAAAAAAATCAGACATTTTCAATAAGTATTTAAAGGTGGGGTAGGTAAGTTTGAGAAACCGGCTCGAGATCGCTAGAATTTGAAAATACACAACCGGAGAAAATCTGCCACTTCCTTATAGAGCCCCTCCTCCAACACACACGAACGCGCACATGACCAATGAGGGCACGAGATAAGTTTGTGCACAGATGGAAGGCTGACAGGCAGGTAGGCCATCCAGTTATTTTAGCCGGGCCGGCTAAAATAATTGGTCGTGCTTTTTACAGTATTACGGCTTCCACAGATGACATTTTTTTATGGATTTTTTGTCAAAGCACTTAAGATATTCATTGCTATCGGAATGTTAAGAGCATTCCATGGAACATAACAAAAAGTGTATCTCGAGCCGGTTTCTCAAATGTACCTACCCCACCTTTAATGTAGGCCTAATATTCAATCCAGAAATCAGGAGATAACAAAAACTGGTCCGATTTAAAGTTCTCGAGACTTAAAATAATATCTACCAGCTTTCATTATATATTCACTATAAAGAGTAAAAAGTGTGCTAAGAATGTTATTGGCAAAACTTTTCATTCAGTCTTTCATTTGGGTCTAATCCATAGCACAGAACATCCTGATCCACTGCTGCCCAGACCTCGAGTTGTTGTTTCAACAGTTCCAAGGCTATAAATGTACTTTGAAACTTGACTTTAAAAAATAATTCAAAGGTTAACATTAAACTTTCCCTGAACAGAGCAACTCCAGTAAAAACGGCAACCACGACTTTCATGCATGCTTGTATATAAATGACTTGTCTTTGAATAATATTAAACTGGATGGTTCATACCTTTCCTGTGGCCTGTACTACGAAGCCGGATTTGCAGTTAGCGAGGTAACTTCAGGGTTTTCTGTCCTACGACGCTGGTTCACTTCTTACCGGGGTGGATCTCCAATGCTGAACACCTAACCTGCTCCGGAGCAGGTTTTGTTCCAGATAAGAGATCCAATCAGTGAAAGCACCGCCTGCTGACCAATCAGAGCTCAGGTGCGGAGTTTAAAGCTATCAAGTCATATTACAGGATAAAAGAAATACAGTGTTAACTGCTGTATGCAGGAAAGAGGTCCGGCAAAAATCACCGACTTTATGAACATGAACATTTATATAATATCACCTCCCATCTTCAGAGAAATCTGACTATTCTTACATTAGCGTTAAGAAAGCTTACTTAAATATCTGCCACAACATAAGTAACCGGATCAAAGTAACATTATTACGTACAGTCCGCGACACTGGACGGGGCAGTGATATCATAAACCTGTTAATGTACGTAACGCATTCAAACACCGGGTCATTTTTTTTTTTTTCCAGCTGTTCTGTATTCACCTTGCAGCTGCAACTATGTTGCTTTCATCCTGGGTTAAGTGTTTGATTCATGGATGTTTAAAGTTGAACTTCTTCATATTTGTTTTGTCGAACATGATAGTTTACTTTTCATTCCAAACTGTGTACCTT